TAGATCAAGCGTCTTTCCCCAGCCATGAGTGCGTGAACGTGAGATCATAGCCCAGTATCCAAGTTTCTATAAAGGGTACCCTTTTAGTATTCATTTAATACTAGTTATTAGTTTATGGCAATTATTTGATGTGTGACAATAGAGTGACTAGACCAAGCTCAGTTTCGCTCTGTTTGAATTCTAGATATAATTGGATCTAAACAGGAATGTTTCTTTCTTATACGTGGAAATTTCCTCGCTTTTTTGGACTAGTCACTCAGGAGAGCAAGCAAGAGAAGAGGGAAAGGGAACGACATGGAAGGCGTCGGCCGTGCGGAAGGTCCCTCATGCCTTAGAGCCATTCTCTATGCTAAGGTCTAATCCCTCACCCCCTCACATAAAATCAGAGCATTTTAAAGCAGATCATGCACCAACCAGATCCAAGTCTCTCGTTTTTCAGATGGTGAAACTAGGGAAAATGCTTGCCCAAAATCAACTAGTTAGCTAGCAACACTGCCAGGTTAAAAAAACAACAACAGCTTAGAATAAGCTAACTTGTTCCACTCCACCACTCTGCAAGCAGTGTAGGGGACAAGCTGAGAGCTGGCTGGTTTGTGATTACTGAAGATCAGAGTATTTGGAAGTGAGGAACCAGAAACCCTGGGTTTAAATGTGGTACACAGAGATTATAAATGGTACATAATTAGAAATTTATATTCTAATCAAAAGAAATAGCATATCCAATTACTGTTTCCACAGGTATTTAAATTGCCTTTTAAGAAAAAAATATGCTTTAGTTATAATAAAGTGGGCTAATTAAAAGGAAATACGTTAGGTAAATAATAGTACAAGTGATAGTCAAATATAACAAAAACCACACAAGTGGGACAAGAATACTGAAGTCTGGGACCCGAGAGAGCAAAGGCTGGGGACGGTGGGAAAGGGACCTTGTTCTCGGCAGCCTCCGGGGTCACACGGACTCTCCAATCATCCACTCCCACCTGCAATCACACAGGTGGTGGGTGATTCACTCCGTGTAACTGCATTTCCCGTCCTGAGTTGTTGTTTTTCAATGATTTGCTCTTTATAATTAGATCCCACCCGTGGTGTTCTTCCTTTTTCTCTTTGCTGGGGAGCCCAGGCGCCTACTGCTCAGACTGCGCCCTGCTCCCAACGCTCTGCTCCAGACACGAGGATCCCATTATCATTGCCTTCATCATAAACCTGGACTTAGTCACTAATACTTTTTATTTAGCCACCAGAAATGTAAGTATGAGGGGCTGTCTGGCATAACATTTTTTTGGGTGATGAGGGAGAGGTCAAGGAGGAGAGGGAAGAGACTCCTCTTAAAACACAGCCACATACAATGTGCGCTCCAGTGAGAGTTAATGGCGTGTCATGTGTCATTACCTGCCACCCCAAAGGGCCGCCTCAGTCCCTGTGTGCACTTCTTCATATTAGTGTCCTTCAGATCCATCTTCCCAACTCGGACTATTTGACAAATCAAGTAAATTTTATCCCTGTTGAGGTCTTTGTTTCCAAGATCCTGTGGGGCAGGAAATGAGAACAATTACACATCATGGGCCTAATGGGAAAAAGTAGAAAGGGAAACCAAGTAACAGTAAGTCCTTGAGGTCGAGTTTAGCACTTAGTATTCATGGAATAATCATACAACTGGTCCTGGTAAAGGCAGAAAACCAAGCTAGCACACCCATTTCACAGATGAGAAAGGTGAGTGTTGGGAAGGAAACTGGGTGACAAAACTCTGATGCCCAGTCCACCTCAATCTGACAGGAAGAGAAGTCTAGAGGTATAATATCGGCTATACAGACAGGATTCCCTGTATGCTAGCTGGTGGCCCCCCAAAACAGCATTTGCTACAAATGACTCTATCCATTTCATCATTGCTAAGCACCTCTCAAGACAAAGGCAAAAGGAAGAGGAGGAAACCCTAAGTTCCCATTTCCTGACACCTAATGTATGTATATCACTCAGGGTTGGGTTGTCGTGACACCAAACAACCCCAATATCTCAGAGCTTAGAACACAACAGAAGTTTCCTTCTGGCTCCAGCAATAGGTCCACTGCAGATGCGTGGGCCTCCGCTCCGCTCACTTCTTCACTCTGGGCCCCTGGCTGATGGATGACCTCATCACGAAGGTGCTCCCACCCCTCAGCAGAGGGAAGGAAACATGGCAAATCACGTACTGGCACTTAAAGCTTCCACCAGGACAGATGCGCACCACTTCGGCCTTCATTTCATTGGCGAAAGTGAGGTGTGTGAGCACGCCACCTTCAAGGGGGACAGGGACGTGCACTCACTCGGTGTCCAGAAGAAGGAGACCAAATCACCCACACCAGTGTCGCATGCACGTGCTAAATGTCGCATGCCATCCTCTTCACTGATCCTTGACAATTTTCAGAAGTAGATGCTATTATTGCACTCCCATTTTATAGATGGGGGAACTGAGACACAAAGAAGATAAGGAGCTTCCCCAAGGTCATGCCCTTAGTCCTTGGAGACACTGTCCAGTCACTCTCACTCCAAAGTCCATAAGCCTAACTTCCACAATACATCTTCTCACCATCAGACTGGCATGCAAGAGGAAACCCCACCTGGATCACCTCAGCATCTGACTGATGGGCTCAAAACTAAAAGCTCCAGTGATCCCGGGACCCCCTTCCAGCTGGAGTCAGCTGGAGAAGGAACATCAAGGGATGTTGTTGGCATCAGAGCAGAGAACCCTGGGCAAGGCCTAACTAGGAAATAGCTGCTTGTCCTCCAAGCTAAGCCGCATGCAGGCACATGCACTAGGTATAGCCTGCCAACTCACATCGGAGCCAGGGCTCGGGCAAAGCAGCCATCCCCAGCCTCTCACTGTGGCTGGTGGAGGAGGAAAATGAGGGAGGGTACAAAGTCTCTGGGAACATGATATGGCCCCAACGTGGTCCACCCCTTTCTGCTTGGAGGCCGTGATGGCTAAATGTAATGCATCCACGTGGCTAGGCTATGGTGCCTAGTTGCCAGGTCGAACACTAGTGTAGACATTGACTGTGACAGAATTTTGTTGACTTTAGGTAACAAAGATTACCTTCCATAACGTACTTGGGTCTCATCTAATCAGTTGAAGCCCTTAAAAACAAATCAGTTGAAGCCCTTAAGAACAAAAACTGACGTTTCCCAGAGAAGTAGAAATCCTGCCTGAGTTTCCAGCCAGCTGGTCAGACTTGCACATTTCAAATTTGTCAGCCCCCATATGGGTGAGCCAAATCCTTAAAATTCATCTATCTGCCCATAGGTCCTATTGGTTCAGTTTCTCCGCAGAAAGCTGACCTATACAGGGCGTGTCCTTGCACCAGCTGGAGGCATGGACATCTGCTTTCTCATTCCCCAAAGCCTCCAGGCTGGGCAGGGAGGGAGGGAAAGAGGGAAGGAGGAGGCTTTCAGCCTGAGGGTGACCCTACACTCATTTGCATTCCCTGCCTTGCCCCATAGGCGACTGAGGTTGAGATCCCAATTATCTCACGTCCAGATGGTTGGACAGCCTCTTCCCTGGCCTGCCTGACCCCTTTCTCCAGTCCACCCTGAAATCCCCTACAAGCCCAGATTTAGAAGCCACATTTATTATTTCATTTCTCTCCCTTCAACACTGTTAACAGCTCCCTAGGTCCTACCCTATTAGTGCTAATCTTCCCCGGCTGACACGAAAAGTCCTAGACATAATATGTTTCCAGCCGGCCTATCCAACCGATTCCCCACTATTCTCTGCAGGTAAGTACTCTATTTTTGTCACAAAGATTTCTTTATTGCTCCACAAACACACAATGCTTGCTTTCAACCCTGGATCTTTCTTCCTAAGCCCCCCGTCCGCTCCACCGCCTCAAATGCTTACGGCTTATTCCTCTATAGAGCCAAAGCCTTTCCATCCTCAAAGGCTCAAGTCTTGCTTCATTTATAATGACCTTCATTCCTAATTACTTCTCTTCTTCCACTGTGATTTTTCAAAGCTTTGCATTGGTATCTTTCAGAGCTACAGAGGCCCCGGCACCTGAACGGTTTCTTCTAGATGTTAGGGCTAAATTATTACCCCCTCCCCCATTTCATATGTTAGAGTCCTAAGCCCACAATACCCAGAACATGACTGTGTTTGGAAACAGATGATTAATTCACCCCAATAAATTTAATTTTAAAAATTAGTACTTAAATAAAAAAGAGGTGATTACGCTAATCTGAGGTTATTAGGGTGGGCCCTAATCCAATATGTCCTTCTAAGAAGAGGAGATTAAGACACAGGGAGTAGATGGCCATCTGCAAGCAAGGAGAGAGGCCTCCAAAGGAATTAACCCTGCACACATCTTGATCTTGGACTTCCAGCCTCCAGAGCTGAGAAAATAAGTTTCTGTTATTTAAGCCATCCTGTCTGTCCTTTGTAATGGCAGCTCTGGCAACTAATGCACTACATCAGCGGTTCTCAACTTGTGGGTCGCGACCCCTTTGGTGGTCGAACGAACCTTTCACAGGGGTCACCTAAGACCATCCTGCATATCAGATATTTACATTATGATTCATAACAGTAGCAACATTACAGTTATGAAGTAGCAATGAAAATAATGTTATGGTTGGGTCACAACATGAGGAACTGTATTTAAAGGGCCAGAAGGTTGAGAACCACTGCATTAGATAAGTCTCCATTCCACCCCCTCTTCCCTTCACTCAAACAAACGAAGGAAGGCCCCAGATTTCTAAGAGCTGTCTCATCAGAGACCCTTGGCACTAGAGAATCTTGATATGCGATGCAATCACAGCAAAAGGCCTGAGCACAGCTTATTCTCTAAGGGCGTGTAAACAAACGGGCAACCCTCACTCAGAACTGTTACAATCTGTGGTGTCTCCCCTTTACTTTGGCCTGAAAAACTCAGATGTGTCGGGGAAGCTGAAACAGGGCAATGAAACTTAAAACCCATGTCACCAAAAAAAAAAAGGAGACATATGTAACACTCTTTGTAACACTTTAAGCAATAAAACAATTAAAAAAACCCATGTCACCTGATTTAATAATTATTGTTCAGTCTCGTTTCCCACGTTTTGGCAGTGACCCCAACACTGGGCAAGGTCTTAGGGAACCTCATGGTCTATGCCTACATGTCTTATTGGTTCAGTTTCTCCTTCTAAGAGGCCAAGGGGCAGCGGGGCGGGGGCGGGGGGGGGGAGGGTAGAGGGGGGGCAGGGCGGGGGGGGGAGGGGGGGAGGGGGAGGGGCGGGGGGGTGGTGGAGGCAAATGCTTGTAAAGCAGAGAGGGGAATTCCACCATCGGCCCAACCCACGTGCCAGCTCCTCAAGCTCTGCCCCCAAAGAGGGAACTAGAAAGAGCTAACATCCAGGACACGATAAATAAGGCCAGCGAGACACATGCCTGCCAAGTTTTATCTCATCTCTAACTTAAACATCACCTAGATGCCCAACTGAAAGTAACTCCCGGTCAAACACCATCACGTCACCCTGTTTGAATTATCTCCATTGCATAGATTGCTTCTGACATTTCTCTTGTTGGTTTGCTTGCTTGCTTGCTTGTTTACTTACTTATTTTCTGAATTATTCCCATCACATCACAAGAGCAGGGGCCTATCAGCTTATTCAGGGCTGGGTCCCCAGCAACTAGCACGGTCCTTACACACAGCAGATACTCACTAAATAGCCCTTGAATCAATGAGAAGCTAGAGCCCTGGCTGGTAGTTAGGGCATCAGCCTGAGGGCCCAAGGGTCTCGGGTTTGATTTCCGGTCAAGGGCATGTACCTTGGTTGCAGGCTTGAGACCCAGCTCCAGTAGAAGTGCCTGCAAGAGGCAACCAATGGATATGTCTCTCTCACATCGATGTTTCTCTCTTTCTCTCTCTCCCCCTACTCCCTCCCCTCCACACTCTCTAAAAAAAAAAATCAATGAAAAATATATCCTTGGGTAAGGATTTAAAAAGAAAGAAGCTAGAGCACCATGACCTTGCTTGCCCCGAAATGAAGACTCCCATCATCTCAAGAGAGGGAGGTGTCAGCCTTTTGAACCAGTCAACCAACGTTCTCAAGTTCATTTGCTGTGGGAGGAAGAGTTGGTGGTACAGGCAGAATTCCACAAAGGCAGGATCCCATTCGCCCTAATACTGAGCGACACAAATCTACCGATGCCCTTTTCTGAGTGTTTACATCATGAGTTGGTTCTCTGAGAAATGAACCACTGATTGATTCCCTGTCCCTCTCCCTCTCATGAAACATCTGTCTCCTGGTTTAATCAGGAAGCCCCACGGGACTCTCCTATTTATCAAGAAAATAAATAGGCTCCTCCTTTGAACTAATAATAGATAAACAGGACTGAGGCACATTTTTATAACTTTGTCTAAGCAATTAGGACCTATGATCTTATTCCTCTGGCCCATTTGATTTTTTTAGGAAACAACAAACAAAATAAATCAGCTGCACTCCTGTCTCATAGTGACATCACATAAGACATCACGTTTAATGGGTTGGACCTGGAAAATTATTGTAGAGCCAGGTAGGTTAATCCAGCGTGTTCGATATTCCTGGATCAAACCCATCAGAATGGCCAGCGCCCAAATCCCTCCCTGGCTTCTCCTCTATAACTTCCCTTGCTAACACAGGCAACATAGTGAAAAACGTCATAAATGTTCTTTGCCTCAAAGGAGCTTTCAGACAACACCGATATCCTTAGGTGTTTTAAGATCACACCCTTGACACAACCTCATGGAAACAGGACAAGGGAGGGAACTCTGCTGGAAATAGCCCTTATCTCCTTCTTCCCACTGGTTCTCCTTTCCAAAGCCAAACAGCCTGTTCCCTCTCAAAAACAGGTCGTCCAAATGGCAACTGCTTTCAGCATTTCTACATATGTCTTGCCCCATGAGCACTGGTTTTTAAAAGGATGGCCGGTAACATCTTCAGTCATGCATGACTTCATTATGTTCAGAATATCCAGATTACCAAGCCAGTTAATGATCTAGGAAGGTCTTTATCTTTTTCTTGATATATTTGAGAAAGGTTTTTAGTTTGGAACCAAAGAAAGGAAATCAGGTTAACCATGAATGAACCGGAAAGCCAGCACAGCTGCTGTACCCAGTTCACCCAGATGGTACCTAGCACTCTGCATGTGTTCTCTGTACAGCTGAGTGAGAAAGAGAGCGGGAGGGAGGACGAGAGAGGGAGAAGGGGAGGATCCACCTTCCCCACAGCTTCCACGGGGCACACAGTGCCCTTCCCCGCCTCTGAAGCTCTGCAGAAAGCATGGAACACGGCTCTGCACCGAGGCCGTGCTCCCTCCGGGCCACCTGCTCAGCCTCATTCCCAAGATCGTGTCCCTGGGCGTGTGGAACGTGGAATGAGAAACAGTGCACACCCACCGTGAAGACCACCTTCAGGTTGTTGAGCATCTCGACCTCCTTCGGGAAGCCCTTGCTGCCCCATCGCACCAGGTAGTTCTCACTGTGGGAAGAGAAGTGGCAACCCATTACTGCCAGGGGCTCAACACGGATTCCCTCAAAATATTCGCCGAGCCACTGCTTTGCGCGCCACACCAGGCTGGCTGCTGGGGACACCGCAGTGTTGGAGACAGACATGGTCTCTCCCTGTAGAAGACGATGGTCTCATCAGGGAGATAGATGTTGGACTTGCAGGGGCAGACAAGTACTGATGTGTGTATTCAAGACCTCTTTTCCTCCCACAGCTGCTAAGCAAATTCTGGCCCAGCTGCCTAATATTCTTTGAAGAGCAGCTGCACTTTCTGTGGGGTTACTGAGGGGCAGAAATGAGGGGGAAGTTCTTTTAGTGCAATTTGCTGGACATTACGAATGTATTCAGCTGTTTTCACTGCTGTGCTTTATCACAATATTACAATTGAGCTGCTTTGCAATAAATAAAATGTCCATTTTTATTGTATTCCCCCGCCCCAAAAAAAGAATGTATTCACCCTTTCCATTCCACTCCCCTTTTAAGACTGAGTAAAGATTTTAATTATTTTAAATGATCCCTTTGATGTAGGACTGTTTCCTTGAATGGAACATCACACTGTGATGGACCACTGAGGGCCTTAGCCATTATCTGAGATACGCTTAAGTAACTATTTAAATGGGGTCCTAACAGCTATTTACATGCGATTGTGCCCTAAGAGAACTGTTCAGGATGCTGTGAGAATGTGAATCAGGAGAGCCTGGCCTAGTTTGAGAGGTCAAGGAAGTCTTTGATGAGACATGCAAATAAAGTTGGTCAAGAAAAGAGTGGGAAAGGGAAATTTTTCTGGCAAAGCAAACATGAGTACAAGCAACCTGAAGCAGAATAAAACATATACATCTAGAAACAGATCCCAGGGAAAGAGAGAAATTCGAGAGAGAGGCCAGACCATGTAGGCCTTGAAGGCCATTCAAGAATTTTGGCTTGATCCCGTGGCTAACTAAATCCCATTTAAGGGTTTTATGAGAGGCAGTCACATGGTTCTGACATACGATCATTAATCCTTTCACATCTTCAAGCCACACACCACCCTGTGCAGTTTATCCTGGTCCGTCCAGCTGTGCTAAAAAGAGAGAGTCTAGCACCTCTTTAACTGAGGAGAAGCCAAGTATAGTTTGCCCAGTTGAGGCAGTAGGTTTCTGTGCCATCCAGGAGTATACAGTAGGTGCTAAATAAATGCTTATCTTGAATTAGTAAAAAGCAAAATAAAGCTCAGAAATCAGGCCACCCCAAGAAGACATAATGAGAATTCAGCAAAGTTAAGGGCAATTGCTTTCTTTTTTAGAGATTTGTCCTATCTGACTTCTGGCTTCTCTCTCCCCACTCACCCCTAGAAGATTAATGAGAGTAATCCAAGCAAAGTTCAAGGGGGAAATGGAAGTGCTGACAAATGAACACAGCTTCGGATTAACCAATGGTTAAAACTCAATCAAGTTAAATGCACCTTATTATTTTTTTTCAGTAAGAGTTTAAAATTTTAGTGAAATTTGCAGCAAACTAACCAGGAAGACTTTATTTCCCCCTCCCCAATTTTTAAGCGATTTCCCATTGGTTATTTCTGACCCATCATGGTGATTATACGTGGGTATCACCCAGAACCTTTCATTACAGGTAGCAAGCCCCATCGAGAACCACCCTACTAGGTCGAAACAGCAGGGCCTCGCAATTTTCTTCCAGGGGAAATAGAATCATAAATAAGGAAAGCAATTTAGAGGGCTGAGCGGGCCCCATCCATCCTTGCTCAGGAAGACCTGAGGGTAAATTGGGAAGGCCCACCCGGCACTAAGACAGGTGAGGCCTCCTCCACGTGGCACCCTCCTCAGAGGAAGGATGAGGACCATTCCAACTCCTCCTCAAGCTTTTTTTAGAAATTAGCCTTGTACTGGCCCAATGCCTGGGCTGCTTTTTTTTTTTCCTACAAAAATTTACCTTAAATCTCCCAAACCAGATTTCTTCAGACACCCACTGGAATCTGACCATGACTCATCCCAACACTGGAAGGTCAGTCTCAGCCAAATTCTCCCCAGTCACATCTGGGCCACACTGAGGATGCCTTAACTAGCCTGCGGCTCATTGTCTGTCAACCCTGATTAGGGCAGGCAAGAGCGGAGATTGGTTTCTTGGGGAAAGGGTGGAGGCAGTCTGACACAGTAAGGCATCCAAGTTCCCCCTCATTTTTCTGTATCATGCCTCTTCTCTTCTTTCTTTGCTTTCTACTTTTTTGCTTCTGCCCATTTTGTCCTGCTCCTCACCATCCCTCACTCCCCTGAAGGCTGCCCTGTGTCTCTGCATGCTCAGAGGCATCTCTCAGGCACGCCCCAGCAAGCACATCATCGCTGTGACACATCAGGGAACAGGGCTGCCATCTCGCTGATCCATTGCCTCTCTCCCCAGAACAGGTTCAGGCCATCCATCCCTTGGGCCAGCAGGCCAGGCACCCTTGCCAATTCAGTCATGACGAGTCCTCATGTTTTCTAAGAGGCAGGGAGGGTCCTGTTAGTGCTTTCAGGATCTTTGTCACGGGTGCCTTGGGAGCAACGGACAGGAGCAGCAAGGAGACTGCCACACAGACCCTTCCAAGGCAGGTTCTCAGGGAGCAGGAAGACGTGTTTGCAGTGTCTACTGAGGCCTAGCCAGGTGAACTGGGCTGGCTCTCTAATATTAGGGATTTGGTTTGCTATAAAGAATAACTTTGCACCATAAATGACACCCTGGTGAAAACCATTCAGGTATCTGATGTTACTCCTAGGGAAAAGTGCCTTGGTGACAGGCTAAATTGGGGACCCCCTTGCCTTTGGAGCCAGATGGACCCAGGTAGAAATCTCAACTCTGCCACTTACAAAGACATGTGACTTTGGGAAAGTCATGTGGCTTCCTTGAGCCTCATGTTCTCACCCAAGTGGCACAGAGTAATGAAATTGAATGAGATCATGTACAGGCCTCAGCTCAGCCTTCTGAGATGGACAGTCCCCTCTATGTTTCACAAGTGTCTCCAAGAGAGCCATCATTTTCTAAAGCCCCACATTCACCAGCCCTGCACTCATTTCATTGTCATGGCATCAAAGCTAGAAAGACATCATTTTCTCCATAAAAGCAGATCATGCTCCAGCTCTATTCTAATGCATAAACCAGGACCTCCAATATAGGACCATGTGTTGGCCCTAATCCTATTGGGGGCCATAGTCAGTGGTCACCTGGGAGGAAGTATGGTCTGAGCCAGAAGCAGAGGCCAGGGGGACAGAAGTGAGGGCCAAAGTCTTTCCCTGGAGATTCCCAAAGGTGCTTTTCCCTCCTTGAGCTGAGGCACCTAGAACTTCCCTCATTTCCTTCATTCTCAAGAACAGTTCATTAAAGTAGTAATAATCACAGCCACTCCCTTTTGGAGCCAAACAAAGATTGCAAGGAGCGCCCATCCCTGGGGACGGGGCTTGGAGTCTCACCACGTAGAGCTGTTTCCAGATGCTGCCCCATTCCCAAAGCGTCGTTGTCACTTCTTGTGCCAGAGGAATTTCTGCAGGAATGATGTTCTCAATATTTCTATTTAAGGCAGGAGAGAAAGCGGTGTGAAATTGGGACCCAGGTGCTAACAAGACAAAATGCTGGCCAATTTGCATGAAGCTGCAGTTGCTGAGAGGGTCCTTGCTGTGAATTTGCTGTCCCCTCCAACAGCCACACCAATTACATTATGCAAATGCAAGAGGCTTCTCTTTTAATGTCCTCCTTCACTGGGGTGGGCCCTTCAAGCTCATTATTCACGGTTAATTTAGTTAGTACAGTCCAAAGGCAGTTGCCAATGAAAAGTCTGATTCTCAAACTTACTGATACCCACTCAGAATCAGACCTGAGCAGGAATCATCATGGATTAGATGAGGGAAAGGAGCCACACAAATAAACACAGGCACGAAAAAGACGGATCACATCCACCAAGTCATGCTTTCAAAGAAGACAGGACAGAGACACCCCATAAGCCACCGAAGGCCAAGCCTAGTGAAGAATGGCAAGTACCTTCTTTTTTCAATGGTCACTTCCTTGATGTGGATAAAGGACTTAGGAAAAATGCCCTGTTGGAAATAAGATAACATAGCTTAATATACATAACGAAACATCAAGTACAATAGAATGACACATCCCCACAGAAATAACTGAGCCCAGGTCCTCATGGCTTTTACAAAAGCCACTACTGGAAAAACTCTCAAACTTTAAAGGAATAACCCCAGCATCCACAGAGCAAGGGCTGGATTCTAAATCCACCCATTTAGGTCCAGGTCTCCTCCAGTTCTCCGTCAGTTCTTCTAGATCCCACAGTAGCGCTAGATTTCAAAGGATGCTCCAGCCCCAGGTGACACATGGACGCTCAACGTTATCACATGGGCAAGAGAGGGGTGCTTGAAGGACTCACTCTAAGAGAGACAAGACACTCTGCCTGGCCCCTCTGTGCCCAGTCCCCCTGCACAGTCATGAGCAGTTGGAAGGTCAGGTCCTGAGCAAGCGTCTCCCTGGCTGCAAGTGGACTCCTTTGATTTGAGGTCCTTTTCTCCCTGGTTTTATTTGATTGCTCTTTAGAGAGCAAAGTAGGCTCATGCCTCCCAACACACCACTGTCAGGGAGGAAGGAAGAAGCATCTATTGTTATTTCCTTCCTCCAAAAGCTTGGCTCAATTAATAATAACAGTTTGTCAATTACTCGGAAATTCCTTCCTAAATTCAACCAATAGGCACAGTAGGGGCATCTGCCACTGCACTAGACACTGTGAGAGGTGTGTAGAGGAGCAAAGCAGGCACCCGCTCTCGTGGAGACGAATACGGTGCAATGTGAGGCTGGAACAAGGAAACTCGCCAGCCCTGTCTCTTCTCTGTCATGGCGATACAGAGGTGAGGAAATTATGAATGCCCGAAGCACTCTACAGGAAAGCAGTAGATCAATTTCAAATAAAAAATGCACAGTACCATGGGGATCAAGGAAGGGAGAAATCAGATATGACTGGCATATTGGGAAAGGTTTCAGGGAGGAGAGGGCTCTGCAGGTTGGCCTTGAAGAATGAGTGAAAGGGGAAGTTGAGGCTCCTGAGTACCAAGTTGTAGAGGTGGGAAAGCACAGGACACAAGGAGGG